AAGCATTGAATGTATTCATATACATTTAGCTGATCTTTCCACTTTTCCTGTTTACATGATGGAAGTTGGGATGATTTTTGATGTATTGGAATAAGTCACTAGGCTAAACAAAAGTTCAAATGCTTGTTAACAGAACTCAAATATTGTAGACAAGATCTTGTAGTTCAAAAAGATTATAATTGCTGCTTGAACAACCTTTCGTTTACAGTAACTATAATCTATCTCTAGAAAAGTAATGTTTTTTGCTGAATTGTGCACTGTGACTCATTTCAATACATCGAAATCATCCTGCCTCATATCTCGTCCTGGCGAAGCGGGATCGTATAAACAGACCCTTATTCAGAAAATTGTGCATGGTGCCATCCCTTGGGGGTGAGGCAGCATTTCCCTTGCGATAGTAACTTCTAGTAATAACTTTAGTTTTGAACTGTCAATCAAAAAAAGCGAAACAGTGAGCGAGACGAGACATGGCGAGACGCGTATACTTTTTTTAAGATAATAGAGTCTACTTGAGATTTTGTAAACATTATTATTGAGAAAACGAACAGTGAAGGGACGAGAGACGAGAAGATTGTACGAACGGGTAAACTAGAAATAAGTATTTATATTGGGCGTAATAATAAAAGTTATAATATCAACACGAGAGAATATATTATTTCATACAATTTTACGGGGGCAACAATATTTACTACAACAGTTAAGTTTTTTATATTTAAAATTGGGTTTTTATTGCCATTTTAAACTGCCAATTTCAAACAAATAGAACCTTGAAAGAAATTTCATTGCATTTTAACGGAACTTCGCATTCAGTTGAAGGGTTCAGTCATTAGGGCCATTTATACGAGACAAAATAAGACGCGACTTACATAAGACGCGACTTAAATAAGACACGAGTTTGTCGTATAAAAGGTACAAAATTCTTATGTAAGACGCGTCTTGGATAAGACGCGTCTTACATAAGAACAGGACTTTTAGCTGTTCTTATTTAAGACGCGTCTTAAATAAGAAATTTTAGGCAAAAATTCTAACTACACATGCCCGAAACTTGAAACAACGTAAAATTATTAGCCTTGCTTATTCGAACAAAAACAACCGAAACAGCATTACAGCTATAGCTAGCCTGCGAACAGGCCCTGGGTTGCGGGCGGCGCGAATCACCTTTCTCCCAGTGAGCCTGTTCGCAGGCTAAGCTATAGCAAGTAAATAAGAATAAATTCGTAAAGAACCCATTTATGCGATAACTCAGCTTATATAAGACGCGTCTTATGTAAGACGCGACTTATTTTGTCCCGTATAAATGGCCCTATTGTTCGTGGAGAAACATGTTTATTTCGGTTTGTGATACTTTATTTTGGAAATCACAGAAATATTAAATGTTAGGAATTATTTTTTTATTTATTGATGATAAATTATATAAATATAAAATATAAACCTCCCGGCTCTTCGACATTTTCAAAGTGTAGTGATGAGAATCAAGGAATTTATTTTATGTGGCCTTAGTTTGGGCCAAGTCAAAAATTGCGAAGCGAAATTAAACTTGACAATTCCTTATCAGAGCGACGCTTTCTTTCTAGTTGTGCATCTCATCCAACCTTTGCTTTTGGGGTTGGTTGTTTCTTCGGGTTCTGTTTTTGTACCAGATTGTTTTGTATTGGGGCCCTGTATGAAGACAATTAGCGTTCAGGGGCCGGTTGTATAAAACTCTATCATTTTTTTAATCACTATTTCGTAGTTAAATAGTGATTAACTCTCACATAGGCGCTTCTTATTGGATGACGTTTCCACTTAATCATAGTTAACTTTAATCACCTTTTTTATACAACTGGCCCCTGAGAGGTGGCTGTTGCTTTCTCTCGCCGAAGCATCCTTTCCTGCATAGTTACTTCCTAAGCTTATCTAGTGCGGCTTCGATAATTCCGAGCTGCAATTGTTCTTGGATGGTCTCGTCATACTTTTCCTACTGGTCAATTTGCTCCAATTTTCTTGTCACATGTTTTAGCCGTCACTTGCTCCCAGCTTCAATGGTGGGAAGAGGGGGATTGTTTCCTTTCCAAGGCAATTTGATTTCTTACCACTTGTCCTCGTTTCTGTGCAGCTGCTTGTCGAACTCGTTACTGTTGGCAAGACCATGGTCATATAGGTGTATACAGTCCGTGCTGGCAAATTTGGTTAATATAATCTACTTCTGTTCCAGAGACATGTTTTCCATTCAAGGAGTCACGATTATCAAGCTTTTCACATATGGCTGTACTTCTCCAATACTGCGTGTTTTTGACGGACATTAGCTCTGGCTTATCGATTGTTTACTGTTCATGTAGAAATTCACTGTCAAGTGACTTGAGGTTTGCTGAATATAGCTCGATTCTTGTTGTCGATAGGGCATCATATCTACTCTGCGCGTCTTCTCTGCGTTGGAACTACTTGCTCCGGTATCGTGGGTTCGATTCCCGTTATGATATCCATGTGAAAAGAGTCAGTCAACTGCGGAAAGTCGTGCGTTTTCTCCGGGTACTCCGGTTTCCTCCCACAGAGAATGTTGACAAGGTTGGTTGGGATTAGCCCCTAAGCTGGGATTAGCCTTAAACTAACCCTACCATCGTAGCTGTGCTCCCTGATCATACATGAGTCATAAGGTGGCTGCCAGAGGCGCACCTAGAAAGCCTTCCACTCGATCACGTTGAGCTGTGTCCTTTGCAATTCAGCTTGGCTCTCAGCTGCAAGTAAGGATAATAAGCACCCCCCCCCCCCCCCCAATTTGCTCGAAATTGAGTACAAGGATAAAGTTCTTTCGTTGACTTGTACATAAAAAATATCAACAATATTTACATTTCACAACTCTTAAATACTTTAGATACAATACTTTTCTGAAGGGTCGCGTGTTTAACTATATATAGCTAGCCTTCGGGTACTATACAGCTCTGCGGAGGAGAGTGGTACCGTGAGGGTGAACAAGATGCTAGATGAGTGTAGGTTAGAAATGCGTAACGGTTGTAAGAACGTTTTGCTTGTTTGGAGGCGATTGGATAATACACAATTTACATTTTATCGACATTCTGAATGAAGGTTGCACCGTAGAGCGATTTATAAAAATGTCTTGAATGTTTCAGTTTGTACGAATTACGATTCTAGTATTTCCACATTAACCGAGTTAAATGTTTCAGTTTAGCACTCTTAGCAAGTCGATACTGAATAAAAACTTATCATTATAGACCGTTCACAGAATTACTGGAGCGTATAAAGCACTATATACGTAAAGCCTCGACAACATTCTTTTATATTTTGTATCTCTTACACATATTTCGGTCACATGGTGTCAGCAGATACTGGGTAAAGTATATTTGATCCTAGGAGTACGCTATAGGACAGGATCGAAATTAGTTCATTCCACTTTACAATGATTTGACAAAATCTCGTAGCCGGCACGTTCCTCGTTTCCTGATTTCACCACTTCATAGTTTCACAGTTTTCATTGTCTTTTCAAAAGACCGAATTCCAGGTAATGCGTATGTATAATGGTACGCGTACCAGTAATTCTGAAAATGGTCTATAATTGCCAGACGTTCACATTTTCCCTGCACCAAACAATATGTGTTACGGCGGCTTCTATATGTCTCTATTCTATGTTTCTCTCCACATGTGGTACAGCAGCCTTGTCTTGATGTTTTCAAACTTCCATTTGCAGATTCTTATAAAAACAGGATGTTTTATAAAAGTTCGAAAGCAGCAGCATTCGTTCTTCAAGGATTCTCAATATCAACCGCGAGTTGCAAATATTTCTCTCCACATGTACACACATAGAGTATACTCCACGCGGTCCCCATTCTGCACTATTACATCATTGTACCAAACTTTCATCTAAAGACAGGATGTTTTAAAAGCTCCAAAGCTGCAGATCGTTCTTGAGGATTCGTATCCAAACATCTCAATATCAAATCTCGAAAACCAGGATTAAGTCCATCAGGAATTTCTGGCGGTCCTGTCGAACACGCAATCTGAAAAACACAAGACTTTTTATGCATACTACATGTAATGCACGTGTTGTTTATATAAAAAAAACCCTGGTAAAATGCGTGATGATCACCAGAACAAAAGTAAGTTTCCGTTAAAATAATAGCAGCATGGAGAACAGAGTATTTCAACTTCACGCAGGACTGTACGGCATGTAGTAAAACACTGACTACCGGAACACCGGAACACCACCGGAACACCACCATTTTGCTTGGGGTTAGGGTTAGGGTTTGGGGTTAGGATTAGGGTTGGGGTTAGGGTTAGGTGGTGTTGCGGTGTTCCGGTGGTGTTCCGGTAGTCAGTGTTTTACTACATGCCGGACTGTACATGGGAAAGGTTATCGGGTACTTGTGTTTACTCTGGCCAACAGCCCAACGCAGGTGCATGCATGGACCAAATGCAGGTGCATGCATGGAGGTGCATGCATGGACCAAATTATATATAATAATCCTATATTCTTGGTATTATGAAATTGTTATCAATCATCATGCATATATAAAGAGCTAATTTTCTGGGAAAGGTCTTTCATTAACTACCGGAACTTACATCGCGGTACCTGTACCTTCACTTATTATGCTCAAAGAATCAATCTACCCCACCCATACTGCATGCGCATTTCCTATGATTGTACTATCTATTTTAATACTTTAAGAAAAACTACATGACTATTAGTTTGCAGTTTTAATTTATTGTTGCATTATAACACTTACCTTAAAAATCAAGGCCAGATGGTTGGAATGTTGGTTAGCGTTCCATGGTGGTTTACCAGCCATCATTTCAATCACAACACAACCAATACTCCAGACGTCACATTTACGGCCATAACTTTCACCGCGTAATACCTGAACAAAAAGGTATAAACTATAGAACCATTGGTTTTGGCCGAGTTTATTTTTCAGAATCCATACCCTCTGGATAGAACCATGGATAGAACTGACAAGAGATGGACAAGAGTAAAAGAATAACACGCAACTACATCGTTTATTTGAAATTTTGAATTTTTGTTGTGCGAATAACATCATAACGACACAACCCAAAAACGTGTCGCCCATGGGTACGGAAAAATATCATGGGTATGGAAAAATATTCTAATACGCTAATGCCTTGAATTGATAGTACCGTATTTACTCGTTTGAGCGCCGCGGCGCTCTTTAAATTTTCAGAGCTTCAGATGCGGCGCTCATTTGGGGGCGGCGCTCAATCGGGGGCGGCGCTCCTTAAAAAAAATTATTTGTGAATTATAACAAGAACTTTTAACAATAAAATAAACAAGTTTTAAATGTCTTTGTCACTAAATGTCCCCATTTTGACGGCGGAAAGTTTTTACACTGTTTACAAGTTTACAAAATATCAATGTCACTGTCCTTTTCTTTGTTGGATATGCTTCCTCGACATCAGAAGACGTAAATTCGTCGCATTGAAAGGGGTAATCGCAGGAAAATAATTAGTGCGGCGCTCATTCGGGGGCGGCGCTCTTTAAAAAAATTTGATCTCAAATGCGGCGCTCATTCGGGGGCGGCGCTCAATCGGGGGCGGCGCTCAAACGAGTAAATACGGTATACGGCATTCCTCATTTTCCCCATCAGCTTTTCAATCATGTGGCTATGTATACTACTTTGCTATCTAAATAATAGCTGTTATCGTAATTGAATACGCCGCTGCGGAATACCAGCGGTATCTCAGTGGAAGTACGCACGAAAACGAGGCTAAAGGGGAAAAAAACCACAAAACAATTGTTGACCCTACAGCGTCTCGATGTTAAAATAATGCAGATACCGCTGGTACGTAGCATAGACGTATTCAATTACGATAACAGCTATTGCGAAAAATTAATGCTTAAAAATTAATGCTTAAATGTGCGAAAAAGGAACTATGTTTGTAAATTAGGTTGAATGGAAACTGTTTTAGTTAATTCACCCATAACGCCCAGCTGAATAACCAGTAAAGCAAAAAGAAAAGGGGACTTACTTCTGGTGCCATATATGCAATAGTTCCCAATAACTGGCCTTGAAATTCTCCAGTAAACGTCTTTTCAGTTTTAAGACGAGCGACGGCTCCAAAATCGGCAACCTTGACCACATGACCAGTAGAATCAAGTAAAATGTTTGCACCTATCATGAGAAATAAACTGTTGAGAATTTGAAAAATCTTAGATACAAACTTTGGCTAGTGAAAACCTGCAACACAGAAAAAGACCTTGATTCTAGCTTTATATTTTTGCAAAACGGAAAATTCAAAATGTGTGAGAATCCATACCTTTAATATCTCTATGTATAACATGATGTTCATGAAGGTAGGCCACTCCTCGAATTATCTGTTGAGTGTATTTTATTGCAACTGTTTCTTCCAAACATCCATGAGTTGATAATAGCTTGGCTAAGGAACCACCTGTATATTCAAATTTCCTTTTCAGTGAAAGACCCAAACATATACTGACATGATTTGCATGGGTTTGATTTTAGAATTATACCGTGCAGGATTCTACTTCTAGTAGTATATTAGTGGGTTTCATTACAAGACAGAATTATGTGATCAACTTCAGAAAGTTGACACTTATTGTGGCAACACCTCTCAATCTACTACAAAACATGGCTAATGGTATAATTGAAATTAATTTGCATTCTTTTCTCAATTTGATAACTTCCGGTTGACCACTATACAGTACACAATAGGTTAACAAATACACAGTCAAGATTTAAGAAAACGTTGGAGAAAGTTAAAGCTGGAGTTACACGAGCAACAAAATTGCTGCAACTTGCAACAAAATCTGATTTGAACGCATGTTAAGTAGAAATGTCGACACATGTTGCCTTGTGATTTGTACACAATAGGTTAACAAATACACAGGTCAAGATTTAAGAAAACGTTGGAGAAAGTTAAAGCTGGAGTTACACGAGCAACAAAATTGCTGCAACTTGCAACAAAATCTGATTTCAACGCATGTTAAGTAGAAATGTCGACACATGTTGCCTTGTGATTTGTAATTTATGTGTAAACATTTTCATTTAACATGCGTTGAAATCAGACTTTGTTGCTCGTGTAACTCCACCTTAAGAAAAAATCTAGTGCTCCCAACCTGCCATCCACTCTAAGAAGATATTAAAATGTCCTGCATGGAGAGTAACACCAAGACATGTGGTCAAATTTGGATGTTGAACTCTCGACATGATTGATATTTCTTCCATTATCGTATCTGTTACTTTCTGCTGTTCATCTGAGGAATTACGACAAAATGAAACCTAGAATTACGAAATATTGACAGAATGATTACAGGCAAAGTTATATTACACGTTTCAGAACGATAACCAAGCGTTCAAATCATTACAAGATCGAACCTCGTACCCAGGGTCTTCCCCGAAGGGCGTAGAGGAAGACCCATTGAATGGGTTGCACAAGATCAAGATAAAAAAGGGGTGGATTTACAGGGGATGGTAATTTCGTTATCAAATCCAATTCGCTGGCCTTAATTAATCAAACAGCTATTCCTGGGCCTTTGGAGGCGTATCTCACCACCCAGGCAACCTTATTTTTCAAGAATGTTCTGACAAACTTAAAATTCGAGATTCTCCACCCATACCACCAGCTTAGTCCCTGGTTCCTTGACAGGTGTTACCGAACATTGCCGTAGCTCCACGATCCATAACTAGCGAGTTTCTGAAGTTACAAGTGAACGGCAAAGTCATGAAAATGATGAAATAAACTACTTGCTTTTTTTACTTGAGCAAAGTACGCACTATACTAAGACTTTATTTGGCTCTTAATAGTATTTACCTACCTTAATATAGTATTTATCAGTTTAAAGTTAATAGTAGTAGTCAGTAAATTCAATAAGACATATAAAACAGCCCTAACCAACTTCGAACGTTATATAAGCGTTGATGTAGTTACGAAACGTGGAAATGATGTAAATAACGTAGTAGTTTGAATAAGAACAGCGTATTGGAATGTTCAACGGAATACAATATATGGTCGCCTTTGTCTTAGAGAACAATGTTATTCACTATTATCGCCCGCTCATCAACCGTCCTCCCAACCAGATTAAGGTGGATGTATCCCTCCCACCAAGTATCCTAAATATTACCTGCTTAACAGCCATAAGAGTTCCACTGGCTTTATCACGAGCAGCGTAACAGGAGGAAAATGCACCAGTTCCCAATAACTCCGTCTTTGTCCAGTGAATACCTTCTAAGTATACATGTTTATCCTTTCTTTCCTTTCCATCAGCTTCGTCACCCTTGTGAGGAAACAAACATGGATTGGGTTGGATCATTTACAGCACAAAGGGGACTAGATAGCGGTGCATGTAAGCAGGAATGTTTTACAGTATGATTTATATAAAGTTTATATTTGATTTTAAAAAGTTTATATTTTCTACTATTACATTACACAAGTGTGAATTGTTAGGCGAAAAATTGCTAGGCAATCTGCAACATTATGTATACTGCACAAAGATATCCATAGAGTGTGTTACCTCAGGTTGTACTCGAACTACAATCTCCTCACTATCATCAGCAATAAGTTTCTCTATTGGTGGTGGAACCAATGGCTGTAGTGTCGAAGCCTCGATTGCGATGGCTAATGCTTCTGCCTCCTCTTCTTCGATTTTCTCTTGACATTTTGTTGTAGTAAGTGGAACATCTATAGGAGGTAAGCTTGGTGATAATGCACTCTGCCTTTTGCCTTCATCTTGACTAGGTGATCCTGGTGGTGTCAAGGGAAATGAATGTTCACCACTAACTGATTTAGCAACAACTGAATGAAAGTTTTCTAACTCCGACATTTGAACATCAACATCAGACAAGTCAGGAATTCCATCCAGTGTATTACCATCACCGTCAGATAGACTCGCGGCATGAGACGATGTTTCAGCGAAATTTTGCGAGTTCTCTCCACTGCTAGAGCCATAAGCTGAATCTACGGACACACCTCTCTGTGGTGCATGTCTATGTTTAAATTGTCTTTGTAAAGCATTCCTGTCACTCTTTTCTAACTCACTCAAACACGTCTTTACTTCTGTAAAAGCACTACGGACTTTTGAAGCCAGCTTTAGACATCTTGTCAAAATCCTTAAAGCTAACTTGTTTCCTTTGCTATGAAGACAGCTCGTTGCTTTGATGGCAAAATGTACTATGAACATCAGGCGAGAGAAATTATTCTCCCATTGATTAGTGTTCTCGGGTAATTTATTTGGTGACGAAGGAAGTCTGATATTCAAAGAAACTTTCTTGTAATCAACTGTTTCAGTTTCGATTCTAAAATAATCCGTGGATTCTTCCAGCAGTTTTACTAGCAGATACAGACGACCCAGCCACCAAGGCCATGTGACATTCTCAGGTGAACGAACAACTGTCCTTGATAACACATAATTTATTCCTCCCAAACACTGATTGCCCTCGGAAGATGAAGACAAAGCTGATCCTAATGCCATGTCGCCACTTTCGTCTTTACATAATTCAACAAGAGTCTTTGCAGACAGTGAACTTACCCGCCTGAAAACAGAAATTTTCAAGTTTTAGCAATCTATTGTGCACGTCCTTCGTAATAGATTCTCGCTAGCGTCCTTCGTAATAGATTTTCACTAGCCTCAAGATACAAATATATTGATCTATATATTCACTGAACTATATACAACATCATTAAAATTTACTACTTTTAAGTAGTAATTTAGTTTTTAGTAGTACTTTTTAGTAGGAATTATTAAAATAATCAAGCTGCACTGTCCGATCACTCCGATGCCCGCTATTTGTTTCATGGGAATCTCGGATTTGTTACCAAGATGCAAGAATCTGCTAGTTTCATTCTTTTATTACCTGTTCGAATCCGCACACTTCATGATAATCGCTTCAAGGACAGGTGAAATCTCTTTTTGCAACAGCACCTTTTCTGCTGGTGATTTGTACGACATGTAGGCCAGTAGAACACGTAATGCTCGCTAAAGTAAATGGAAGAATTTTTGAATGTTTAAAAAAATACCAGGGATATAACACCCATATAAATGCGGCCGAAAATAGTATAATATACATTAAAAGGTTTGGAAGAACAAGAGATAATAAAAATCGTTGTGATTATCTGTGAGAATGTTGTTCTATTCTATCTTCCGAGTCGAAAGAAATAGCTGTGAGGTTTAATAGATACTGTAAGCAACATCAAAGATTAGCTTTTCTAAAATAGACCTGGTCCAGTGTTTTTTGTGCGCACACGAATAAAAACTTGCGAGGCTGATAAAATATTGGCAGGGCAGGAAAAAAGAAGCACAACCTGGAGACAAAAATTTCCTGCAGACCAACGGAGTATTTTTATGCTAAATCTGCATGTGCATAAACTTATCGTGTGTGTTAATTTTTTCGTTATCGTGTGCATAAATTTCAATGGTTTTAAATTCAAGGAATAATGTCTGCCAACCATACGTTGTTGCGCCCCTAGTGGGATATGGCTGTTAAGGTTTCCTTCAAATTTTCAATAGCAAATCTTCATTCAAACGAATTTCCTGCAGCTGTTTAACATTTTCTGCGAGCAATGCTCGCGTGCTCGCCTATTTTTTCCACCCCTGGATATTGGTAGCGCAAAAATGTATTATTTACATGTAGTCTTCATGGAGCTTAATGTGTTAACTGCAATAAAATTCTCACCACAGCAAGGACGTAAACAGGATAAACAGGATCAGCACACATCATTGCAATGATCTGAGAACAACTGGACAAAAGTATTTCTGGAAATGAACTCAAATTTTCATTCGTCAGAATTATTTTAACCTCCTTACAAAGATGTTGTAAACCTTTTTCACGATAATTCCATTCTTTAGAGAACAAACAGCAAACTAAATCTTCACCAAATATCTGGAAAAAAATATAACCGAAATGTCTCATAAAGCATAATAAATATTGCGCTGAGCAATAATACAAGTGTGTATTATCTTAGGTTGACTATAATCATAGATAAAAATAAAACATTGTCTGCACTACAGTGAAAGTTTCATGTTTAAAATCATTTAACTAGTTTTAATCTGATCAACTATAGTCACGTTTAACTACTGTGGTTTGCTGAGGTAATTGAAAATTACTGTACAAAGTTTAAATTTCACTTAATAACGAGTAGGCTAGGTGTTGCTTACAACAATTCATCTGCGTACATACTAACATCACTACATCATGCAGTACATCATGCAGTGCACCAAAACCAAAGTATGGGAAAATAATTTTTCCTAGACTTGTACTCTCAACAAATCAAAATATAAGCAGTCATACCTCAGCCCATGGCTTAGAATGTTCAACATGTTCAGGTGGTATTGGATCACAATGAGGTAAAATCAAGTCTTGGTCAAGAGGAATGGTATCAACTTGACTTGATGCAGATGGCAAGGCCAGTTCGACTCCACTTGATATAACGCTAACAGAGAAATAAAATTCAAAATACGTTGTCTAGGATTAATTACATATTACTGTGATGTACTGTAGGTACAATGCAAGTGTCTGTGATATTTATACACTTCTACATGTACTGTACATGCAACAAAGCATTTATGTAGAATATTATGATTGGATATACAGAACAGTATGCCAAGTGCAAAACTAAGTCTGTGCTATGTGCTGTACAGGATATACATTTTATGTGCAAAACAGGTCTGTGTTATTTACTGTAAGTTTAATAAATTAGTTCTAAGAGCATATACAGTAATTGTGAAATATGTATACTGTATGCAGAACACAATTCAAACGAACCTTTTTTCAGTTTTTTCTACATTTTTTGTTTTGATTGCCCACACTTTGCGACACAAGGGACAAACAAGAGCTTCTTTCTGCCTCTTACATTCAGTGGCCCCTAAATATGACAAGACAAGACATGATCGAAATATGTGAAAATTAATATCAGCATTACTACTTTCACCATCATTGTAATTCTCATGATTATCATTTTGTATCTCCCTGTTTCGATCTGTAATGTATTTCCACCAACATTTTTATTAATTAATACTACAAACTTACATATAGCCATACAATGTTGATGTAGAGTATTACTGCAGCCATCACAAATAGTAAGACTTTCTCCATCAACCATTTCCAATAAACATATTGGGCACTGAACGTCTTCATCACTTCTAGGAGATGAACTAATCAACCCTGCTCCAACTGGTCCATTTTGAACATGAGAATCTGTTGTACCTCGACGTGCAGTTTGTTTACTTTTGGTAACTAACTTTGTTTTGCTCCCTATTCTTGAACTGACTGAGGCATGAAATTTGTGGAACAGCATTTCCACCTGTTAAAAGATTTAATTGCAAATTTCACAGGTCATTCATTACATGTCTTCTGTAGCTGACATTTCTGTAGCTGACATTAGGGCCATTTATACGGAACAAAATAAGACGCGACTTACATAAGACGCGACTTAAGTAAGACGCGAGTTTGTCGTATAAAAGGTACAAAATTCTTATGTAAGACGCGTCTTGGATAAGACGCGTCTTACATAAGAACAGGTCTTTTAGCTGCTCTTATTTAAGTCGCGTCTTAAATAAGAAATTTTGGACAAAAAGTCTAACTACACATGCCAGAAACTTGAAACAACGTAAAATTTAATGCCTTGCATATTAAAACAAAAACAACCAAAACAACATTATAGCTATAGCAAATAAATAAGACCAAAGCCGTAGAGAACCATTTATGCGATAACTCCACTTATTTAAGTCGCGTCTTATGTAAGTCGCGACTTATTTTGTCACATATAAATGGCCCTAGTATCAGTATCACCACTGAAATGTGGCAATTAATCGAAGAATCAACCATATCACCACTTAACAATACCTCATAATTTTTAAGCTGTTTTTCCCATAAAAGTGGATCATTATCCTTCAATTTAAATACTCTCAACATGACAAAAAGCAGGTGAACACAGAATAAACCTTTACTACAGCTACATGTCTGCAAATTTAAACAATATGAAACATTTAACAATTCATGTTAAGAAAATAATATTATGATTTATTGAACAGAGATACATGAACAGAGATAAATCAAGAGAACTGCAGATCAAGAGAGATTAAAGTACAGTATGTACATGTATGTGCTACTAACTTCCCCATGAAGGGCCTTTGCGATCAAAACGTTGAAGTTCTGCTTAGGCCTAAAAAAACACCTGTGGTTCTGGTGAAAAAAATCTGTGTTTACCTGAAATTGGGAAATTTATTTTAGCCTGAAGCCGGGCATTTCTTTGTGGGTCTGGGGGGCATGCGGTTGCCCTCTCGATTTTTAAAATTTTTGTGTCTTTGAAATGGCATTTCCCACATTTTGGGAGTAATTTTTGAGCAAATGTAGTTATAAACATGTTTTTAATGGCATATTAACAACATTGAATTTCTATAACTATTGTTTGGCTGACTCAAATTGGGAAATTGCGACCTCAAGGTAATTGGGAAAATGGCGTTTAACAAGGAATTTTTGACTGTAGCTAACACTCTGCCGACCGACCCTATTTTTTCTGCCGACCCTATTTTTTTTTTCAACACGATTGACCGTGCGACCCTATTTTCTCCGGGTGGTTGCGAGCTGCTCGTACAGCGTGCCAAAATGGCATCTGTTGTCACAATAATTATTGATAGAACCAAATTGCCTAAATTCATCCATAGGAACTACGCATCTCTAGTTAATACTGATGTCAGAACTCTACTGAAAAATAACCCAGCAAAAAAACGCCAAAACCATGAAAAAAATATTCAAAAAAATTTTTTATTTCCGACCTACCTATCGTCCTACCCTAATTTTTTCGCAATATGAAACCGGAACCACAGATTTTTTTAGGCCTTATATTTTTCAGGTAGTTGTACTGTATCCACAGCACCAACCATTTGAGAGAATGAAGCATTTGTACCTGAGGACCAATCATAACTCGAAATTTATGGTTTGGTGAGTCTCCACCAATAAGAAAAGAATTTGGTCCAGTTTGTTGCAAAAGATATAGTCTAACTTTCATTGCCTTTTCAACCCTATGCTGGTTCTCAGTTGCCATCTGTGCATCAAACACGAGAGTTGGCGAGGCACTTCTTGGAGTACTTGGGCCAGGTGATCCTGAAGGGGAACTTGATGGTGTCTTTCTGCGATGTGGTGGTGATGAAGGACGAAGGTTCTGCCAGAAAACCACAGTTAATTATTGTATCAAGGCAGTCAGTAGAGCAAATATAGTTACATATATTAATGGCCAACACTTCCCATTCAGGAGTAAAATCCTTTGTCATATTTAAACTAAGCTGTAAAACCATGCAGTTTTTAATAATTTCAGAAATAACACATAACGGTCAACAAAATGCAATTTTTAAGGCAATGAATGCGACACTTTAGCGATAACCTACGCAAATTGGAAAAAAAGATAGCACAATTATGATAAAAAACTTAATCGAGAACAATATGCATGTGAGTTGTATCGCAAAAAAGTTCTCAGTCAGAGTCTATAACTTTAGTCTAGCTTACAATTGCTAGCTTTTCCCATAACCCTGTCTTTAAAAATACAATATGTTACTGTGTATAGTAAATGGTTATGGTTATATAAATAATAATTATGGAAATTTACATCGTTAATAAAAGGTTTTGAAAATATGTCAACAATTGCTATACACAATTTCAGACCTGTCAACTCTCCCGGTGCCGCCGGGAGACTCCTGGTTTTGACCTGTTTCTCCCAACTGCTTGTTTTAATTGTTATGAGGTAATGGAATATTTTCCACATTAAATTATCTGGCAAGAAATAATAATCGTGTGAAAATCACTCGTGTCCAAGCTGAAACTTACTCCATGAACTACAAGTGTTCTGCTTTTTTATCCACTTTCGCACCATAAGCCATAAGTAGATTATTGTAAGGATATGAGATGACGTAACGTGGGATCTCGAAAACTAGTTGCATTCTTCCCATGTTAGCATTAAATTAAATTAAACAAGTTGTTGAAGCGAATGCAATTATAATGATTATAAAGCCGGGAAAATGATTAGAATTTTTTACTGTTTTGAACACTGGATATGACTTTAATTTTGCTCTCCTGGTTTTTGATAAAATCTCACAGTTTTTCAAGTGCTAAAAAGCAAAATCTCCCTGTTTTAAAATTTTAAGGTTGACAGGTCTGCAATTTTTTAAAGGTCTTCCCTAACTACTCTAAATGTTGGTATAAATGTAGGAATGTCAAAAAGGATCAGAAGCTCTGAGAATTTACATAGTTTGAATCATAAACAAACTATTGCAACTATATATGTACAATGACTATAGTGGTTGTGTTATTTATGTATTAATTATCTAGTGCAAGCACAAAAATTGATACGTTTTGTAAATACAACACAAACCTGAGATGGAGCTACTATGTAACTTGCTTGCTTGAGACCAACATTTGATGTATTGAAATTGGGTGATGGTGGCCTCACAACCTGCAAAGAATCAAGAATGAATTCAGCTCACAGAGTAACTTAATATTGACGTCTTCCGTACTGGATATTGTATCCCCATATGAAATGGTGATATAGGCATATGATTTAAATGACGATATAGGCATATAATCTAAATACAACAAATTACAATAATTAAGTTGTAATGGTATAAAAGTCACACCACGACAGGCAATAATTTTCAAAGGCTGGAATACACAATGACCACAGCATCGATCAGAGCACACTAGAATTTATTACAGAATAGAAAAATCATATTTTCATTACTTTAGCATTAGACTTTTGACTAGTTCTCTGTTTTACATCTTTGTGTTCCCAGTATTGAACCATAAAGTAAATGTTACCATATTTCTTCTTGCATGGGCATTTGCCAACCTATATTATATTTTATATACCAGTATTACAAATATCTGTATTTAATATACTGTTTGAAACGAAGTTGACCAAACAAAAAGCAACTTTAATAATTTACTCCATGTTTGAATCTCTTCAATCTTGCTTCCCACAGTTCAACCAGAAACAATGTTGATATGTTTGAAAAGTCCATCAATCTTGATGTAGTTTATAGTCTTTGATGTGGAATTACTGAGACTACATATTACTGAAATAACTGCAAAGTCTTTGTTTGAGAATGCTGAGCTGAGTGATGTAAGCAACATCTTAAATATTGATCCATGCACACTTCCACAATTACCTTATATGGCATGAAAACACAACTAGATATAACAACCTTAGGGAAAAGTCTTCTTGCTTTACTGAAATTAGCATAAATTTTACACACAGCTGCTCTGCTGATGAGAGTCATATAAACGTATATAAAGATCATTCACACAAAATGTCTACACTATTCAAGCAATTTTCCTAAAAAATATTACCAACATGTATTTTGTGGACTTACGCATGTACAATTATGACAGAGTAATTTACAGTTCAATGTTTTTATTCTGTTTATGTATTATCATGAAATCACAACATCACACATCATACACTCTGACTTCAGTATGCACAAGAATGACCACTATATACATTTATTCTAACCACACACTTTTAATATTCAAAATGATCATGTTTACAAATTCTTATCAACATGCTTACCACAAATTATAATTGAAGTTATAATTTCTTGGCTGCAGAGTATTCAAGCAGAACTGGATGGCACATTATGATGTTTAAAAAATGTATTTCTAACTACCAAAACCCTTACACTTCAAACCAGAAGACAAGTAAAATCTAAGTTGAATATTTATAATTAATCAACTATTCCTCTCGGTATGGGCTGTCTCTTCAAAACAGTGGGGGGGCACGAGATGTTGTCAACAAAACACGCTTGCAACAAAGATTATACATTTCCCTCGGAGTAGTTTCCTGCCTTTTAAGTTGTGGAAAACCACGTGCTTGCAAATGACTAAAGTCTACATTTACTACGAATAACTGCGAAGTAACCGTAAAACAACTTGAAGCATGAACACACTTTTAAGCTCGATATATATCCATTTAATATTATTATAGATATACATCTTTAGGCTGGTGGTGAGAATATAAAGCACTTACTACAGGCTGGAGTTTCTTCTTTGATATTGAATCTTTCTTCCATGCTGGCGCTGATTTTAATTTTTCTCGTAGAAGTGCTTGCTCTTCTAGTATTGGTCTGAAAAATTAAGATAAATATCACAATGTGAATGTACCGTTTATACAGTATCTAAGTATTAATCTAGCACATTTTCATGTCAACACCTTGGCTACTATGCACGAGTACAATACATGGATAACGTGGAAAGCTTTACCTCGCTGATTCAGAAATCTTTGTCGTTTTAGGCTTTTTTTCCTCATCCTCAGGTCTTTGCTCTCTCGCTTTTCCGCTTGATTTCCTTTGTATACTGTCGAAATTTCCCTGCGATGCCATTTTCCACAAAAATTCTCCCTGCTAAATCATTTTGCCTCGAAATATTGTCAACATGTGGCTTCGTGTCGCACAAAAGCGCCGGGGACTTCCGATATATACACGAACCGTGAGATTATCCAATCATATTGAATCGTTTGCACTTCGTAAGTGGTCGGAAAGCTGGGCTTCTATTTTTAGCTGTTTCGTAACCGCAAATTTGCAATTCTGGCGGGAAGAAATTTGCAACCTCATGCGTTTTTTATCTCATTTGAAAAGCAAATTGTGGCAAAACAATGACAATTAACAACGTTAATTACTGCATGTCAACTGCATAAATTTTACTAATCCTGACTAATTCCAAACTTATAGGCATTCAAAAATACATAAAATCCAAGTGTAGAAGTTTTGAATATGCTAGCCTCAAGTCACTGAAGTGAATATTCACTAAATGGCCTTGGCTTTGACATTATTGGATTTGGTGAATAGAAGGCAGAAGCAGTTGCCCATCAACTATTAAAAGATCGAACATTCTGGTCACCCGACTGTGTTTCTAAATCGTGCTTATAAATCCAGGTAACAACCCTTTAAAAAGGACATGTACAATATTATTTGTAATCTAAGAGTAAGGCTTAGTGTGAGATATCAATAGACTATACCTACAAATATGAAATAAAGTTACACTGAAGCATGATCAAAAACAGAAACACGCCGAGTCACCCAAATATCATGTGAAAGCGTCTCCCTGTCGCGTAGCCAGGTAACGCTCAAAACCGGCGGTCTATATTTGCAATTTGAGTATTCGTATATGTGTATATAATTAATCAATAGTTGCCTTACTTGCCTAGCCTACATGTACAAGTAGTTGCCTCAGTAACATTGAGATATATGCCCTGGTTATGAATTTGTAAGAAACGCTAAGCAAATCTCTGACCAAAAATCATTGGATCTTGATATATCTTCAATACTGAAAAAAGGCTGTTTATAAGAGGATATAGATTAAAGAAAGATATGATTAATTATCATCACAATACCAGCGGCTTATAACTAAAGCTAAACAAACATCAAGGGATTTCAAGTTTGTGTATGGATATCTAAAATAGGATTGTTTTTCTCGGCCTTTAGACTCCGTTTACACGGTACCGGACGAATTTGTGACCGGACGAAAATTCGTCCGTTTCGGCCGTGTAAACACACGAGAACCACGGAACCGGACGAATTTGAGACCCCCTAACAGGACGAATTCGCGTGTAAACAGGCGAAAAAGGACGAATTTTCGTGGTCTTAAACGAATTTACAGTACTGGCACAGTGGCACATGACTTTTTCGTCTGTGAATGTGACATAGTCTTCTGCGCATCCGTTATTAGACTTATTAGGGTCGGCAAAAAAACCCCTCCCCACACCAGTTAAATTAATGCATCTGATATATATGATTGGTTCAATTCATAGTTGCAGTACTGAAAGTCAAATGTGAACCTGCTCTCTATTGAAACAGGATTCCCATATTTGTAAGGGGGGGGGGGTGAATAGGGGTATACAAATCCGCCGATTTGAAGCAAAATCCACGATTAGATAAATCCGCAATCTGCTGTATTAATAAGATCCGAAATCCATGTAAAACATTCGCCAGATCCGGAATCCGGACAATTTTTTCTGTGAAATCCGACGATCCGAAAACCTATTCGGGTGAGTGTAAGGAAAAATTATGACGGAGTCTGCAGAAAAGTTCTTGGTCTCTGAGGTGAGGGAACCGTGGGGTAACTAGGGGAGAACTGCACTTTCAAAAGGACTAGGATGAGTTGGAATAAGGGAGCAGTCATTAATGCTGGGGGTGGGACAGAAGATATTTCTGAACTTGTGATACATTTTTCATGTCGATCCCCTCATTCTTTCCAAATAATATTTCATGCCCCCCTTAAGGATATTATTTATTTTCATAGCCCCCCCCCTGGATCAGGGTGTTTCCTGTTTAGCTTAAGTTGTAGTCTGGTTACCCTCTTCCCATATATTGTATTTTACATAGGTGTATGTATATAGTGTGTGCAGTACTGTTTTGTGTACCGGTTTTCTTTGTCATGCATGCAGTCCATTCACATATGTCTGGGTCGGACGATATTTGGACTGCTTTTGCCAATCAATCCTCACTACTTTTATAGAATAACAATCCATAATATAAACCATATGAAATGACTGCCATATATACTGTCCAGTCTAAAGAATTATATATTAGGCTTATAAGAAAGTTGCACAATGCATTAAATCCCACACACCTGTAGAGGTCCAATTAGCTATAAAATGCAATAGCTATAAAATGCAATATTGCCAGGCCCCTCTTAGAAGTTCATAAATGTTTTGTGGCCCCTCCAAATATCTTCCGCCCCCCAGCATTAATATATAATGACTGCTCCCTAATAAGTGAAAATATAACAATCTTTGCTTATATTAACTGCTTTTGAGCAAAACTGAAGTGTCAACTAAGGATTTTTCATGTGAAGATTTTGAAGTTAAAATATAAAAAAGGGATTTCTGGGGAAGTCTATTTTGAGCTTTTAAACATTCCTTAATTAAACTGCTAATAAGTCCATCTTTCCCAGTAGTGTTTTTTAAGTACCAACTATAAATAGGTATAGTAGATTTTCCTGATACGATAGCTACTCAAGCTACTAGGCTAGCCCGCCTGATATAAACGGTCAGCACTTGTTTCCATCTTCCAAACTGACGTGACGTCATGACTTACCCTAACCAAATGGAAACAAGTAAAAACCGATATAAACAACCTTTGACTTCCATCTTTCTGACTTTGTGGAAAAATTCTAGATTCCAGAAATAAATATTCGCAATCATTACCATATAAGGAGAAGTTGACCATAAATGGCCTGTATCAAATTGCATTTGGCCTTTTGGGCTGCGCTCTCTGATTTACTTAGCTCGGCATAAAATAGTCTAGAGGAGAAGCAACATTATACATATGTCAGTTAAAATATGGCTCAAGTGTTTGCCAAGCGCAATCCACAAAGTCAAAGCAACCAAGCACCGCATATTTACGATCTATCGGTACAGAATTCCCTGCGCGATCGTCCAATAGGTTACGTCGTCAACAGTCATCAAATAATAGATTTTTATGGTTGGTGTCGTTTCAGAGAAGACGTGAAAAACTATGAACCAATTATAGATAGCCTCGAACATGCTTTCTCTAATTCTGTATTTTGCTGCGGAGGATATGTACGCACACCAGATGACGACCTCAAAGATTTTATCTTAAAAGTGAAACCGAAAGTTGATTCCGAAGACGAGGAGAATTGGAAGGAATTCTCGCTGAACAAAATTCTTCCTGAAGATCTAATGGAATACTGCAATCCTTCACCATTCGGAGATTTAAAAGAAATGAAAACAGTACTTGACCCTGAAGTTCGTCTAGCTCATGAAATTGAAACAGATAGATTTGATTTTGGTTACGTAAATTGCAGACGTACAGATAGATTGAATTTCGTAGAATCTAAGATATTGCCTGGGAAATTTTCAATAAATTACCATATTGCAGACGAACTCGTACCGGGAAGACATATCGATCTGAAGCGAAATAAATTGAATATTTATGGGAAGGGTGGTTTTTTCAAGTCGCATGTAGATACTCCCTCGCATGATAACATGATAGGAACACTGGTTGTATGCCTTCCTTCACCCCATAAAGGAGGAGAGTTGATCGTTAGCCACGATGGCCTTGAACATGTCTTTGACTTTTCGAAGCTCTCGGATGATCGCAACGTATTTCAATGGGCTGCGTTTTATGGGGATTGCGTTCACGAAGTGAGACCTGTTATTGAAGGTTTTCGAGTTACAATTACGTACGGTATCACCTTACCAGATCATAGAAACTTGAAGGAAAGTTACTATGACAGACGTCAAACTCCTGTGGAAGAGCATTTCGAAATGAGCGCAAAATGCGAATTGCATTCCTTCGCTAAAGTAGATCGTGCCCTAGCAAATCTTCCAGAAAAACTTGGTTCAAAAGCACCAGACTATATTGGGTTTATATTAAAACACAAGTACACCTTACCAGGGCTGCAACCAAATATGCTTAAAGGTGAAGACAAAGGTTTGCTCGATTACCTCACTGACAAGGGTTGGAAATGTCAACTTAAAACTATCCTATCCAGATTTATGACAACAATGGTGTCTATTGATATAGAGGACATGGATTATGAAGAAACGCATGAGATATATGAATTCAAACCACATGAAGGCATCCCTCCTGACTATGAGTGGTACTATCCTTCCTTACCCGAATGGTCTGATCGTTTCTCGAGGCGACGAAATCCATTCCGAAGTTTTCGTGAGTGGCGTGTTGGAATTCCTTTTATTGAAATTTACCGGAAGCCAGATGAGGGTAAGCTCGTACGCAACAATGAAGGAGAAAGTGATTGGGTTGGTAATGAAATGCATGATGTTGATGTGGATAAAATTTATTTGGATTCTGCTCTCATTGTCCAGCTTGGAAACAAGACTGAGTAAATCTTTTCAGAATAACTGAAGTCTGAACTATATATAAATGGACAAGCCAAAAACAAATAATCGAGACTATAGTCTATACTAAAAAATATAATTTGATGATACACAGTATAACTATAAGTAAATAAAATATAATTTTAAGAATGAATATATATAACGACGTTAACATTAATCTGCGCGAGGTTGAAACGAATATATATAAATTTCAATGACAATGTGCATAAAATGGTGCGACATATCATATGACACCTCACCAATATTTACTCATTGATTAATTCCGTAATTGTTGATAAACAGTTATACTGTCTATGCTGGTATAGCAAATTTTATGCCAAAATATGTAAAATGGGCTTTCAAGATTAAATGGGCTATTTAATACTTGATATGTAGTCTTGAACTGTCTGTGAACAACGAAAGCTTGTTCATTATGTAGTACAAGCAATCTGGGTTTTGTCGAATCCGTGGCTAATTTCGTGAAAAGTAGGCTCGTTATTCGATCTCAAAAAATCAGTTTGATATCATTTTGTGCAGTTGATTTTATGTTGTGGACTTGTGGCTGCATAGTTCGGGTGTTAACCCGGGAAAATGTTGAAAATTGTGGGTCACAGGAACGCCAATTGAAACCAATGGTTGAGGCTATTTTTCTACAGACAGCATCAATGTGACTGCAAGGGGGTGCAAATCCGATTCTGGGGAAGGGCAATTGCCCACCCAGTTAAGAAAGGCTATGTTATTTTCTGGTTATTTGAATACTTTTTCAACATTTAGCTGGGTATTACTACCCCCACAGGTGGAAAAATCCTGCATGCGTACGGCCCTGCCCCTGGTGAAAAAATATTATGTAAATATGTAAAATGCCACATTTGGGTCCGCAGTAACTGGCTATGGCAAGGGTTCGCAGTTGCGGTGTAAGGCACGTTTCTTGCCTTCTGACTTATGAGTTTCTCTATATTGTAACCTATGTCTATACTGTAATCTATTCTATGTTTGGCGAATCTAATAAATAAAAAGTTAAATTAAAATTTGATATTAATACTTTATCAGATAGATTTCAGAATTTTGTTTTCGCGTATATAGAAAATTATACATTAAAGATATTGGCAGGACATCTATACATGCATGTACGCTGGATATATAACAAACTTGTTAAACGAATTTGCAAACTAGTCTGAACTCTTTGCTGGCAGCTGTTGCTTTATACAGTCACACGCACATTTACTTGCAGTGAACTATACAGCCAAAATTTGCATGTAATAAAAAACTAATCTTTATCACTTTGCATTTTTTGCATGGTTTCATAATTAGTCTCTTTTGAACTATCTTAATAAGTAATCAGTGCTGATGAAACTCGAAACTTTCTTCTTTTCCATAAGAATGAAGAACATGTAAACGAAATGGAAATATATAATCATGTCCCATATATGACAACCTCGTAGGAAAAACAGCGGCATGATGAGCATTTCTTCGGATGGAACTGTCTTCAATATCGATGAGAGGTGTATGTATTTCACCGACGGGAGACCGTTAGAACCGCTGTGTTGGGAGGAACAGCTAAATTCCAATCAGGTTTGTAATGCCTGTTACCCGTTTTATACACTCACCATGCAGTATACGCACGTTTACTTGTAGACAAGTACCAGTGATAGTATCTTGAATGAAAGACTCCAATGTAGGCAACGTTGAACAATATTCAAGAAGTTGGTTGAAGGATAGAACTCCCTGCATGGAAAATGTGGAAAATGCTCTCTTCAATTTTTTATCACAGTTTCATGAAACAGAAACTGCTGACTAAAACTGATAGATCGTATGCGGATTATCGCCAAATTCGATTTTATATAAGCTAACATGATGCATGCAGTTTACTCAGGAGATGGTGTAGTGTTATGAATACTAATACTATAGTACTAGAATACTATAGTGTTATACTACTAGAATACTATAGTGTTATGCGTTCTCCAAACTTATTCTGTGTAATATATTCATGGATCAGTATATTATCTGAGGTTATTTAATGTTTGAATTATATAGGTAAAACTGCTAAAGCAACGCAAACCTACAATGGCCAATGATTGTTATAAAGAGGTATACGAATGAATTAAATCGAGACTCTGCTGATCAGATGAAATACAGATGAAGTGAAAGGTTTTTTATGGTATTTATTTTTCATTTTATGTAGATTGATAGTAAACCTGTTGTATTCTACCAGAAGAATTCGGTTGAAAAAATGCTCAAAAAACAAAAAATACGTTTCCATCTAACTTCCTGTCACCTTCCTAAATTACAAAGCATGGAGAGGACTACGAAGAGTACTAACTACAATTTCTCAGGAAATCTGTCAAGTGGTAAACATTGTAAACAGTTGAAGAATAACGGTAACAAAAAGTCGCCTTTACTTAATGATAGATTGGAGTTAAAAGGCAGTGGAATGGAAAATTCTCATCACATGAACGAGTTTCTAAATGGAAACGGCAATTTATCTGAGCATTGTGATATTAATTTTCATAAGGAGATGTTTGGTAATGAACAGTTTCTCCAAGACAGAGATATTAGAGTTCACTCACACTACTCACACAGTTCAATGGATCTATCTCCTGAAAGTAATCGCCCAACATCAAACAAGACTTTATTCATACATAAGCAATATGTTGATATACCTGTCTCTTTGCCAAATCCAGCTTTAACAGACGAATCATGTTCTATAGTAAGTGAAGCAAGAGATTTGAACAGTGAAATAATATCCTTGGAGTTAATAACTGAGAAATTTAATAAAACCTCTGATGAAGAGAAAAACGCTCCAAATGAAATAAAATGTTCCCCTGATAATATAGACAAAAGTGAAAGGAAACTTGTACTGCCTGTCGAGATTCCGTGTAATGATCTTCGAAAAGAAAGATTCACAAAAAGAGAAAGTAACACAGGTCCAGAGTTCACTCCAAGCGAAAGCCGTGAAGATCGACTACCGTCTCGTTTAACTTATACACCATCAACCACACCATTGTTTTTGAGTGAAGAAATTTATGAGCTTCCTAAAGGTGTTTCACCAAGCAAGGCATTGTTAGAACTACGGCAAACATTTTGTGAAAATATAAGAAAAGAAACAGAGCAGTTAGAGTTTGATTTGCAACAACTTTACTTGAAAAAACAACTTCATCAAAGATGACGTTTTGACGGGACAAATGTCAAAGCCAAAGGTCTTGTATGAATGTGACATGACACTTGCATGGCTCGTCTTTCCTATAAATACTGTACGCAATTAAATTGCGGGCACTCGGAGACTGCACAATTCCGAATAGACCCTTCCGGAAAGTACTTAGCATTGGTTACAGAGCCTCGTTTTCGATGGTGATTGAGGTTTCGCCTTTTGAGCACTTTATCTTGTTACTGATGACCTAATTATATTAAGATTGATCTTTTATATCATCTGATGCAACTGTATGATTTCGTAAATATATGTGACTTGTAGCAATTAGATAAAGGCCTCTAAACCCAATATCTTAAATCACGCAAACGAGCTCAGGGCCGTCGCGAAGAGGTTCAAGCAGGGGGAGGGTGTGTATTGTATTTCCCGACAAGACTCAAAATTTGGCGATCATCGAAATATGTGTCGACGGCTGGACGGGGGGAGCGAAATTTTATTAGACAAAAGATGCAGAAATCGCCGAAAAATTTCCCAGTACTTGGCCATGGGCTAATTACACATTCAGTAATTTCCTCTGCCTGGCAAAGAAAGACAAACTTCTGATAATTGGCCTAATTTGTCATCCGGCAATTTTCATCCAAATTTAACCAAAATTTAATCACTTTGCCCTTGGCAATGTCCATTAGTCCCACAAGTTTTGTTTACGTTTGATATTCGTATTATATCAGCACTCAATTCAACGAAAGATTATTCAAAGTTTTTTCATGACAAATCTTTCAGAATTAGCATCTTTTTAACAAAAATCCCAGACATTTCAAGCTCTAGATTAACAAAATAAAGGTGTGATGAGTGTTCCAACTCGTTTTAACTTAAATAAAATACGTGATAGCCGGTTTGGAAAGCATGAACAGCTAATTCCAAGTTCGCGTGGCTGCCAACTCTCATCAGGTGATCAGTCCTCGTAATGCTATGCTCCAGTGAATTACTATACGTACTACAGTACAGTGTCAGTGAATTACTAATTTTTCAAATTGGTTCATCCATAGCCAATCGAAGGCCGAAGATGGCTGTGAAACTCATTAGAATAACAATATAACTAATTATCTATGTTAGTCAACGTTTATTCAGAGGGTACCTAAATATCGAGTCAGGATTCGAGCCAGGACTCGAGCCAGGACTCGATTCAGGACTCGAGCCAAAAATGACGTCAGGTGATTTTGATGGATGAAAATTTACCAACAGCGTTCTCATTTTAAGAAACTTTCCTTACATTTAGACTATTCGTTCGCCAACAATGCGAAATGCTTAAGGAAATTTAACTGAATCTGAGGAATTGTTTATCGATAACCTAAGTGATGTTTCGCAAATGGGAAGTGAGAGAACTTGTTTACCAAATCAATTTCCCGCCTTTTTCCACTAGAGTCGATAAAAGAACTAAAGAACGATAGTCTATATTTGGTATATTTGTACATACAGAGCTGTCAATCTCATCTGACTTTGGCTATTAAGGGGCCAATTACATGGAGCATTTTCAACCCCGGGGTTGAACTCAGCCCTGTTAACCGGGTATACGTTGAAATTTTTTGCGATTACATGGACGATTTCAACCCCGGGGTGAAACGTTATACTATACGTTCTCGGCATCGATTCGCGGAAGTAAAAAAGCCTTTATTTTGTTTTCTTGTAATAAATAGTCACTACCACGCATGCTCGAATAACTCATTATAATTTGCTAGCTGAAGCAACACCGCGGAAAAACGTCTGCGCATGCACCAAATTATGAAAATATGGCGGGGAATTTGAATATCAATTTCTAAAACAAAAACATGCTTATTAATTGGTCAAAATTAGTAAAACAAACGAGAAAATATAGCAAATGGGTAGACTAGACATTAATTGAAAGCGTCCTGGCATTTAAAGTATGGAATGAAATATAATTCATGTAAAAAAATGTTGATTTTAACGGACACGACTTCGAAAATGTTTGCAAAATTATTCAAAACAAAAATTCAAACTGAAAAGTTAAGAAAACTCTCGAAAAGTTAAGTTTCTTAACCCACTCAAATTGTAGAATAAATCCTAAAGTTTAATTATTGTGAACACGCAAATTTTTTATATTTGGCGACACAGTTTTTTTTAAAGAAATGTATCTCAAACGAAAATTCGGAAATTGTCATTGCTTAGTTGATAAACAAAATGTTTCAGACGATAAATTTGTCAACAATCACCTTTAGTTCATGTTCTTGTACAATACAATCTCTTGAACCTTCTGGCTGTATTTATTTCTAGTTTTTAGAATGACATGTTTATTTTTGCGCTTGAAATCTGGCTGTAAAGACGCACAATGAAGTCACTCCTTTTTACCGCCATTTTGAGCCTTCAGCCCGGCGCACACTAGAGCCACAGAATAGGAAGTTATACCAGAAGCGTAACTCTAGTCGTTTCCCTTATTGTTTGACGTCCACGAAAATTTTAACTCGCTCACGTCAGGCCACGCCATCCTGGCTAGTACAGCCGGAAGTTTTTATCAGGATTTGGTAGGTACAAAGTGCCGGTTGTACTAGCCAGATGGCGTGATTGATGACGAATCGCTTGTAAAAACGCGGACAAATATTTGCTCGAGTTACGCTTCTGGTATAACTTCCTATTCTGTGCTAGAGCTATGTGCTTAGCAAAATATCATTCGTGACTGTTGGCGTAAGGAGATAGCTCTCGTGTGCGGGCGATTTACGAACGACTTTTGTCATTCGTGCCACTTACGCCAAATATCTAACATGTTTGATAATTTCTGCCTCGCGTGCCAAAATCTTTCCGTGTGCGGCGAACGAAAGCTATCTGCTTACGGATTGTCGTAACAGCGCATGCGTAGTATACGAAAGTAAACATCCAAGATGGCGGCGCAAAATGAATTGCTGGCCGAGGCATAGCCAGCGTGGCCGGCTCTTTTATAGGGCAGAAAGAGCCGGCCACGCTGGCTAGCCGAGGCAATTTTAGAGGACAAACTTACTGGCTATTTCTTTCACCGCACATTCCCTTTTGTCCCTATTTCTAAAATCTGCAGAACTCACATCGTATAAACATTTGTATTCAGGCCAAAGTTCGACAAGTTTGTCCTCTAAAATTGCCTCGGCCAGCAATTCATTTTGCGCCGCCATCTTGGATGTTTACTTTCGTATACTACGCATGCGCTGTTACGACAATCCGTAAGCAGATAGCTTTCGTTCGCCGCACACGGAAAAATTTTGGCACGCGAGGCAGAAATTATCAAACATGTTAGATATTTGGCGTAAGTGGCACGAATGACAAAAGTCGTTCGTAAATCGCCCGCACACGAGAGCTATCTCCTTACGCCAACAGTCACGAATGACATTTTGCTAAGCACATAGCTCTAGTGTGCGCCGGCCTTTCGGAAACGTTCGGAACAGCTTCTCATCAAGTTCGCAATACTATTACAGGTAAGGTTGACGCATGCGCAGACGTTTTTCCGCGGTGTTAGCTGAAGCAGGGTTAAAATTTCAACCCCGTGGTTGAACTCAGCCCTGGGTTGAAAACTTTGTCATGTAATCGCGCGTTTGATTTTGATAGAGTTTTGTATTACAGACAGGGCTGAAATTTCAACCCGGTAAACAGGGCTGAGTTCAACCCCGGGGTTGAAAATGCTACATGTAATCGGCCCCTAACTGTAACGATTATTAGCGTCGGAAGACAGTGAATGAAACAATAGTCAATACCATTATTGTTGTTTGTCTTTGATATATTGCACAAATATCGATATCCAAAAAAGGGAAATATCCGGCCAGTATTTTATCGAACTATTAAAAACAGTTGATATTGCCCATCACTAGCAGTCTCTCGCTCTTTACAAAACAGATACTTGTTGCCGCTCATTGCCGCTTAGCATTCGTCAAAGAGTAGGATAATTCTCCCTGCCTTATTTTCCTGTAATAGACGCCAATATCACCAAACTGTATTATAGAAGAGCCGGCCACGCTGGCTAACTGTATTACCAAATACACCCTTTCGATAATTACACATACTTTTTAGTCTTGGAACCTCGCTCTCATTGGTAAATTACACAAGGTGATTAGCGTAATTATTGAAAGGTTGTAGTAATTTGCCAGTAGTAGAACATTCAGCTAGCCTGCGTAACGTGTCTTAATATGAAACAAAACCATTGGGTAATGGCAATTCCCCGTATTTTCGCATTTTTTTAATCGAGTCCTGGCTCGAGTCCTGGCTCGAGTCCTGGCTCGAATCCTGACTCGAGCAATAGTATATCTCGTTTATTCATAAATCTGCTCCTTCACCATCGTGTGTATTGTATAAAGCCCAACTAACTAATAGCAATGTTTTAGCAATTTAGGAAAGATACTTATCCGCGACTCAAACAATAGGGAAATTCAGGAAATTGCTATTGGTTAGTTGAGCAAAATACAATAAACACGTGACGGTGAAGGACCAGATTTATGAATGAACGTTGACTAACATAGATAATGAGTTATATTGTTATTTTAATGAGTTTCACATGCAGTCATCTTCCCTTCGATAGGCTATGTTTCATCAATTGCATAAAAGCGTCTGTATTATTGGTATATTTACATATTTTATTCATCACTGACTTCGAGAACTAGTATCATAAAAATACTAGAAAGAATTAATATTTTGTTGAATTTCTAAAAGTTCCAAGCTTAACCTCTCTCAACGGTATAAGCACGTCAATTTATAGGTGAGTATCCGATTAATTTAACATGCAGGTAGATCATTCATTCGCTGTCCGACCATTGAGTGAGAAACCTCAGAAACGGAAACCGACTCTTGTTTCTCGCTCGATGAGTTCTGGTGCTGAGGCCCGTATTATAACAAGTATATTTTAGTTAGCCTGATCTACGCACGTAAAAGTCTCACAACTTGTCAACATGATGTGTTCGCAACAGGCTTGTAGGAAGCTTGTCAACAAGTTGTAACAATGCTGTTATTTTATCAAGTTGCTACAAGGTTGTCACTCACAACTTGTTGACAAA